ATTCTGGCAACTTCTCTTAAATGAAACACTATATGAAAAGATTTGCTGAAGGCACTTGATCATCCTAAGAGTATTAATTAGCAAAAAGCACTAAGTTTTCTTGAAAAAGAAAGACGTGGTACCCAAGGAAGAAACTAGGATTACTTTGGTTTTGACTTTCTTTAATGTATTCAGTATGTAAACATTTTTTCTACATCACCCAATCTGATTAACATATAACAAAAATATAATTATTAACAGCATATTTACTTTATTTGGAATGACTTTTTTACAGTGTAGCAATGAACATTACAAACATAGTAATGAACGTAAGTAAATGCAAAAATGCATCTTCTGCAATCTGAACTCTGTTTTAAGAAAGTTAATATGCTTCTAAAAAGCATAAGAATTATGAACTCTAAAATGTAAATCCCCTTATCTCCTCATTTTGTTCACCACACCCACTTTATTTTCATATTGGTTTATAAAATACTTGTCACTAAGATGAGTCTGTGTTGATTTATTTGAGGACACATATATAGAAACCCTCTGGAAAAAAGATACTGATACTTGACACAATCATAAAAAGAAATATTTTTTTTTCTTTCTGAAATCTTCAACTGTGAAATAGTAATACCTTTAAAAGTTTCTGCAAGCATTTAATATTTTAATGATAGCATATATGAAATGAAGGCTCCTTACTATTTTGTCCCTTTGTCATATAGAAAATGTCCAAATAAATAATAATTTTTTCTGGTTGGTCATCAGGATTATTGTTAGTCTTGGTAACTAATACTTTTCCCACTTCACTGAAATATTCATCTAGTCAAAAAACTGTCTTTAATAGTATTCATCTAAGGTATGTTATAATTTCATTGAAGATAGTTAATGAGAAAGGTTAAGAGCTTAAGGCTAAATCAAAGAGGCACATGGGTACTACTTAAAAAATATTTTTGTGGAAAAGGAAAAAAAAATACTCCCTTAATTCATCTCTGGTTACTGAAAGGTTGGCACAAATAACTTCTGTATTGAAGGTTTAAATAGCTATCACAGCATTTCATATATTTAAACTTGAATTGAAAAGCTTTTCTTGTCTCCAAAAGAAAAATAGTCACATATTACTTACATAGTAATTACAGGCTATGCAGCTGCCCTACAAAGCTTTACTATAAATGTGTTAAGCATGAACCACTACACAAACCTTATTCAAATTGCTTTAAATGTTATGCCAAAGAAATGTCAGCCTCCACACCACTCCACTACAATTGCTTCCACAGGAACAATGGCCATCTCCCTAGTCTGAAACCTAAATAATGTAATAGAATCAATGTTGCTCATTTAGGCTATGGTTGGTTAAAAGTCATTACTGTTATTCCTCACCAGTAAAGAGGTCTCTTTCCCTTCCTTATGCATCAGTGAAGCTTATGCTAATGCATCCAAATGTAAGAAAGAATACGCTTCTTTGACATAACATTTAAAGATTGAGAATTCAAGGAAAAGTACATGCCGTCTAGCATGATAAAAATACTAACCTTAAGTTCTATATCTCACTGATCCTTGCTTTAAGCCTTTCTAAAGTACAATTTAAAGCTTACACAGCATTACCATTTGCTTATAACTTCAAAAATATTTATCTGGTCACACAAAACTCTGTAATACTCTCATACCAGTGACACACGATTCAAGAGGTTGAACCTATGAAAACGTTTTAAAGGGAGTAGTAGAGGTAAGATTTCTAAAAGTTTCAACCTTATCTTTAGAGGGCTATATATCACACATTCTAGACATAGTTTTAATACTGTTGTTGATTTGTATGCATTATTTGAACTTTGTAGCAAATGAACTTGGCAAGGTTTTGAAAATATAATAGCAACTAAAGTTGTCAGATTTATGACTTAACATGTAGAGCAGTGATTTTCAACCTTTTCCATCTCATGGCATGCAAACTAATTACTAAAATTCTGTGGCACACCAAAATAGATATTACATTTTTGCCTCTATGACAAAAAATAGGTATAATTTTGAATTTTTCATATAGCCAGCTATTGTTGTGTTGGCTGTTGTCATTTTTTGTTTGACAATCTAAGGGAAAAGAGGTCAGTGGCCCTGACTAAACAGTCAGGTATTGCATGTTTTAAAAATCCTTGGGGCATATGGGTTGAAAATTGCTGACCTATATTGATCTGGGAACAAATCAAACCAGGCTTAAATTTTAATGCAAAGACATATACCCATTAAAATGCAAAGACATATGCCCATTAAAATGCTATACACTATTACAACTTTCTAATTTTAAAACTTTTGTTAACTGGATAATGTTTAAGAATTAAAAATGGCAGGATCACCATGTTGATATTATGTCACCCTTTATATCACATAAACCTGGTATCAAGTGATGACATTCTCTGTGACTTTCTTCCTAAAATTCCACAAACCCAGTTTAATCATGAAAAAACACTAGGCAAATCCAAGTTTCTGGAATGTTCTACAGGATACCTGACCAGTACACCTTAAGTCAGTAAAGGTCATAAAAACAAGGAAATACTGAGAACCTGTCACAGACCAGAGGAAACTGGGAAAACATGCCAATTAAATGCTATAGCCTATGACATCCAACTAAACAAAAACCCTAGACTGAATCCTGGAACAGAAGGAAGACATTAATGAAAAACTGGTGAAATCAAAATAATGTAAAAAAAAATACGTAATATATATTAGCATTTGTTAATTAGGAGTCGGAAGAGTTTCGTAGTAATTAAAAATGTTAACAATAGGGGAAACTAGGTACAGGGTATATGGGAATTCTCTGTATTATTTTTGTAACTTTTCTACAAGTCCAAAATTATTCCAAAGTGAATATTGTTATTTGTTAAGTCATTTTGAACAAGGCTATTTACTTCCAGTAAATAAAAAATGACTTTTGTTTAGAATAGGTTAAATTTTGTTATATAATTAATCTCTTATCCTAAATCTTATATCACATCAACATTTTAAAATTATACATTAAGTGCTCTCAAATTTGAGGAAAAGTACTGATTACACATGGCAGATGAACACAAACAACTAAACTCCACAAATGCTTAATCCTTTTTAACCTGCTCTTCCATTGATAAGGCTTGAGGAACCTCACATTCACAGACTTCACCTGATAACAATCCTTTAAAACAAGATATCTGACAGCAAAGTGACAAAAGAAACATAGAAGGAACTTTCCCTACAATTTAGCTGAAAAATTAACTGAATTAAATTTTTCACTTGTTTTATTCCCATAGTTTCCAAAGAACCTCTCATTATTTAAAATGTTTGGTCGATTTGAAGCTAGTGCTGTTGATGATATGCTTTAGAAAGTATAACATCATAGACCTCGGGATATATAACATTGAGATACTGAAATCAGTATATAAATTCAGGAAAGTATTGATAGCAATGCCAGTGACAATACATAAAAGGCAAATGACTTCCATGAAATCATGTTTAATTTAGTTGAATGAAAATGAATTTCTTGTTTTATAAAAAAAAGTATAAAAAAAAAGCAGGGAGTGAAATTTTATGATTATAGAAGATGTGATGGCTGTAGTTTCATAAGGTAGGACTAAGAAGAAAGCAAAACAAATATTAAAGCTAGACTTGCTCATTATATAGAAAAAAACACTTGAATGATTTATCTATGTATATAAAAGCCTAAGCAACTGGCCGACCAGCTGACTATTTGACTGTCTGACTGGTAGCTATGAGGTGCACTGACCACCAGGAGACAGATGCTCAACACAGCAGCTGCGGTTCTCAGGTGACGCACCCAGAACCTGAGAGGAGAGGGCCCAATTCCAGGATGCATCACGTGAGAACTGCCCTCTCGCAATCCGGGACCCCTCGGGAAATGTTGGAGAGCCAGTTTTGGCACAATCCCTGCAGGCCAGGCTGAGGGACCCCACCAGTGCATGAATCCATGCACCAGGCCTATAGTTTGATCATAAAAGGCAAAGTCTTGGAAATACTTAGACAAAAATATTTAATAAAACACTAGAGGCCGGATGCATGAAATTTGTGCACTCAGGGGGGTCCCTCAGCCAGGCCTGCACCCTCTAGCAGTTCGGGAGCCCTTGGGGGATGTCTGACTGACAGCTTAGGCCCGCTGCCCTAAGCCAGCAGTAGGACATCCTTAGCGCTGCAGTGGAGGTGGGAGAGGCTTCTGCCACTGTCACAGTGCTCGCCAGCTGTGAGCCCGTTTTCTGGCTGAGTGGCACTCCCCCTGTGGGAGCACACTGACCACCAGGGGGCAGCTTCTGAATTGAGCATCTGCCCCCTGGTGGTCAGTGCACGTCACAGCGAATGGTTGTTCTGCCGTTTGGTCGATTTACATATTAGCCTTTTATTATATAGGATGACAAGCATTTTTAACTTAACCTAGAGTGCTGAAAGATTGTGTTTTGGGGATTAGTAATAAGAATAAGATAGAAGAGATGGAGAAGAAATTCTCCATGAAGATATGGCAAGTGAGAAAGTGACGCAGAGTCCCTAAGTGAGAAATTCCTTATGTGGACAGTGATGTCAACTACTTGCTGCCTCTTCAGAACTGTGTCAAACAAGATATCTCCTTTACTCCAGACCTTACAGTCAGCTATAATCAGTAGCCTTTTGTTAGCGATGCTCTAGGCAACAAAGGAAGGCACACAGTGTCCAGTGTGGGCTCCAGCATCAGGGCAACAGAGCAGTAGCTGCAGGACGCAACTGGAATGGTAGTCAAGAATTGGGCAGTGATAGAATGGCAGAACTAACAGGGATCATGAAGAAGAAAACATCTCAGGAATCCTTGATATTCAGGGGTAATAGATGAAGTGGGGGATCAGCCTGGAAGACTTCAGTGTATAAAAGAGCAGCTATGTGACTTGCATGTGTGAAAATCAGGTATGTGAAAATAATACACCAAAATATAAGAGTGTTTGGTGATACAATCGGGGTGTTTTTTCTTTCTAATTACTCACTGATTATCTAACAATTTTCCATGTATGTGATGTTTTTACCTTCCTCTTGACAAGTCTGCATCATCCTTCTTCCACCGCACAGTTGGTTGAGGATCTCCCTGGACCTGACAACGAAATTCGACTGATTCTTCCTCCAGCACCACTTGGTTAATTGGTCTCCTGAGAAATGTGGGTCGTTCTTAGGAGGAAAAAAAAAGTAAAATAAAATAAATATACTGCATGCTTTAAGTATATTCTGGAAAAAGCGTAGAAAAATTATGGTTTATTTTTGGTACATAGGTACTTAACTGTATTTCAGCTATATCTTGATACTTACAAATACAATGTAATTGAATAAAATATAATATTTTGAAATGCAGAAAGAGCTATGCTTTGTATATAAAAGCGTAGAGCCTTTTGGAAAAGATATTACATTGATTCTTCAGTGAATTCCTGAGCTACATCATGTAAATCTTGTCATAAAAAATTTGGACATGGAATTCCACATAAATGAGGAAAGAAATAAAAATGATTAGTTTAATTTATTAGGATGGCTCAGATTGTAAGATGAAAGTTGAAACTAATGCAAAAAAAAGAAAACATATATTAATATCCCATCAGGAATGCTAGAGAAAACAAAAGAAGTTGTGCTTTTGAAAGTAAGTGTTGTCTAAATTTCCCAACTTAGGCTATCATTTATCATTGACCCAATACTTCCATGAATGTTTTCAATTCATGTATGGATAGCTGAATGCCTTATTTCTGTTTTTCTTTAAATAAAAATGCTGTGAATCTGTTTTTTTAAAATAAAAATTACTCGTTTTAATTATTTTACACGATTTACTGCCCTATGTATTTTTAAGGCCACTTCTTATTACTTTCTCTTAATTGTTCCCAAAGTTTGCCCATTTTCTCTTTACTTAACTTTTATGTTTATTTCTCTAGCATTCTTTCCTTTATTCCTTGTGTTTTAAATCTGTACTTAGCTCTGTTAATCTGCATTCTAAAACTCTTCTACAGAAATCTAGAAAAAAATAATAGCTGTCCATAGAATCTTACCATGAAAGAGAATATAAAACAAAAAGTAGTTTTACACTTTTCTACACACTTCAATTCTTTGTCTAATTTCTTTTTTTTTAATAATGGTCAAATTATGATAATTTAAATTACTATTTAAATTTTATTAGCACATGCCTACAAATAATAGAAAAGTCCAAAAAAGTGCTACTTATTGAAATAGAAAGAGAAGTCAAAGAAAAGAAAGATGAAATCCATAGGAAGTTGACACAATTTATCTGGTCATATGGCCACATTTAGTCAATTAGGACTTTAGTTTCAAACACAATTTAAGAATGTGACTATATTGCCAAAAAAAACATATTTAGCAAGAAAACTTTAAAGAAAATAAATCACTTCAAATTACATGTTAAGAGAATAGAGTGATAATACATGATTTTATTGACTAAAGAGCCATATTCATAAAACAAATGTATAATTACAAGATAATATTTTTAAAACATTTTAAAATTGATTTCTAGAGAGAAGAATAGAGGAAGAAACATCAATGTGAGAAGGGAACATCTATCTACTACCAGGGATCAAGCACACAACCAAGGCAGGTGCCCTGACTGTAATCCCACAGTCCATCGGTGCATGGGACGACACTCAACAAACTGAGCCACACTGGCCAGGGAAAGATCATATTTTATTGCAATAAACTCAACCATCATTGGTATTCAGAAGGAAGGCAACTAAATCGCTCCACCATGAAGGTTACAGTTGGGACAAAATTGTTTTTTTAAACACAAACCTACATATGCTCAATTATTTGTTCTTCAATACCCCAAACCCCAAGTCATAAAACAAGGTGAATAGGATTTTATCACAAAGAGGTTTTTTTTTAATGCATAATTTAGAAATAATCCATAAAAAAATGGGAAACAAAGATTGCTTCTAATGATTTTAGGTAGTAGAATCAATTAGCAGCTAAGTGTATCCCCTTCACAACAGAACAAATCTGCATGCTGGATGGAAGGATTTAGTGTTATACTTTTGAACTCTGGACACTATGTGCTCCTAACAATCATGCTGGCATAGTTGATATTGAGCTATTGTTTCTGGAAGTAAATAGGCATAAGATCAGTATCTCCCTAGGAGTGCTTGGAACGTTAATAATAGAAATAAATCATTAGCATAAAATGTGGAATTGACTTTTTCTTCCCCATCACTTGGTATGTCCATCCAATTCATCTAAAAGCTGCAATAATCCAAGTTAAAAGAGAGCTAAGCCACTGTTGTTTTTAATGGGGATATTTTATTACAATCTGGTATATGGCTGAGCAAGTTAGGAGGTCTTTCACTCATCTACTCATTTATTCAGATCATATTAATACAGCTTCTCCTATGTCAGGCTTCGAGTTTGGTAGCTGGTGAATGGCCAGCATTTTGGTGTAAAAAAGAAAAAAAAAACTGGTAGGGGATAAAGTTAGTCAAGACCATGAAGAACCTTGTATGCCATGTCAAGAAAAATGAGTTTTCCCTAGAGGGTTAGGGGCGATCAGGCAGGCAGGCAGAGGGGTTAGGCGTGATCAGGCAGGCAGGCGAGTGGTTAGGGGCAATGAGGCAGGCAGGCAGGTGAGCAGTTAAGAGCCAGCAGTCCTGGATTGCGAGAGGCTACAGGCTGGGCTGAGGGACACCCCCTTCCCGTGCACGAATTTCGTGTACTGGGCCCCTAGCTTTTAATAAGCCTATGAAAAAAGGTCATGTTGACAGATCTGAGAAAGATGAATTAGAAGTGAAACATGAAGCAGTGAATTAGGTCAAACTATCATTTTAAGACTTGTTTCAGTTTAAATTGACACAGTGCTTCTAAGGATGTGGAAAAGGGGACAGAATAAAGAAATATCAGAACTGAGTAATCAATCAGAAGTAGATGGTGAAGAAGCAAGGTTTAGAAAGATTCTCAAGTTTCTATTTAGCAATTGGTACAAACTTTCAGGTAAAGTATGGATATGGTATGTGTATATGTGCATGTGAGTATATGTGTGTGCAGATCCTTTCATTGCAGAAATGGTAGATAAGACAAAAATAAGCCATTGTTACTCAGGTTTCTGTACTTGAAATCAAATGCAGTCTCAATTAATAAGACAAAGGAGACTTATATAATACAAGGGGAAAGAAAAATATCGTTTTTGTAGGTATAGTAAAACTCTTGGATTAAAAAATCTAAATAACGATAAAATCTAAAGAAACTTCTTAAGCATGATGAAGATATTTTATCAGAAAGTAAATGCAAAAATTATTTTTAAAGCAACATATTAAAGTTATGCCAATGAAAATCTGGAACAAGATAGACATTACTAATTAATAAGAAAAAGAAGGAAAGTATGCATATTGGAGAAGAATCAAAATAATCTCTTGCCGACACTACAAATACAGAACAATAACTTGATAATTGATAAATGCAACAAAAAATAAGAACTACATATGATCATTATAACAATCTTGGAAAATGGAAAATTTTAGGATAAATTGTGGCAAATTCATACATTAAAAAACTAGTAAGTCATTGTAATGTTAAAGCTATCTATCTCTTTATCATGTCATCATGGAAAATTTTCATGGCATGATGCTGACTATAAAATAACTTGCATAATGCTACGTGGGACTGATTCCATTAAAACACACATGCCTACTTTCATTCAAAGATTTTGTATGTTTCCTTTAACAAGCAATCAGTCACAAAATGGCAACAGTTGAGTATAATCAGAAGGGCAAATTTCACATTAGACTTGTCACAAACCTAAACTTGTCTCTTCATCCAGGGGACACCATCAGGATCCTTGAGGGCATGTTAGTTATCATACATGTTCTAAGTCACATCGTTTTATATGGAGACACATGGAAGCACCTAATTTTTAATTTCAAGAAGAAGCAAGATATAGGATTCCCTGCTGCTGTTCTGATGAACTCATCAGGGATGGAGGACATTACAAGGAACCTGCTCTATTCTCTTCTGCCCTCAAGCAGAGTCTAGTTGCCTAGCAACTGGAAAACCACAGGAGAGTTTGTGGTATAGAATTTTTGGAAGCCTAACATTGGGTCATGGTAAAAATGTAATTCAATTAATTAAAAGAAGACAATGCAAAGAATAACCTAGATGAAAGTGACTTGCATATGCATGGTACTTTCAGATGGGTTTTATACCTGAATATATTAGGTTGTGCCTTCCAACAAAGTAACATTGAAATTTACTAACACATTGGATTTTGGTCACAACTTTTGAAGTGTTAGTCTGAGAATTTCCATAGCACCCATTACAACAGCTATCTCTAAATCATACTACTTATTATTCCAATTGTTTTCTGATAATTATACTAAGTTTACCTACTTTGCAATTTTAACTGCCTACATAACTATATGTTAAAAACTCTGTTATTTATTTAAATGAAAATAGTTTTTCTGTAAAAATTATTTTCCAGTTTCTTTGACTAGATTTTATTTCCAGAAAATGTGAGAATCAGGAACATAAATATTAAATATTTAAAAAGCTGTACAGGCAGAAATGTATTTTAAGTGCTTTGTCTTTGTAGTGGCTACTATTACCATAAACAAAACACAAGCCACGCCCCTTTCAGACACTTTATAAAAATTACAAGGAAATGTCATGGGGTTTACTGCTTTGTATAAAAATCATCTGCAAACAAATGTAAATTTAGAAGGATTAAAAATTTAAGTTCCTATGAGAATCATACAGTAAATTGATAAATGATCACATTTAATACCCATTAATGCCCAATGGAGTTTGTATCCCAGGAAGCGCTGCACAATTAAAATACATATATATGAAACATCTTGAACTACTATATAATGAACAGACCATTTTAAGGCATGTCAAAATAAGGTCACTGATTTTTCCATATTATCACCTTATGTCTGATCACATTGAAAAACAGGGCTAGAAATCTCAAAGGCTGTTTGCTGACTGCTTATCAATTAGATTAAAGTCCCTCTGAATGGCCAGGTCTCTAATTATATAGCCATGGAGTGATCAGAGGCAATGTCTTTGCCAATGCAATTAACATTTTTATGTGAGATTAACTGGCTTTGAATCACCTGCATAACTTGCTTACAAGGTTAATCTCCCTAGAGACATTAGTGTTGTTTGTAGTGTGGTACTATGTAAAGCACAGCTCTCAA